CTATGGCATATGCTCTGTCGTTTTTTTCATAATATTTCAAAGACTACATTACTTGCTTATTTTTTACCACTCTATTTCGTAGATGGAATCCTCGGTTGTCTCCCTTGATAATGACACGTCATTCTCTCTTCATAAAAATAGTTGATATCCTGCATCCGTTGTCTTCTACTTTATGTTCCGTCTTCCCTCAAGATGTAGGCAATCATAGCTCTTCAAAATTTTCCTGTCTTTTGTAGTTCTTAAACTTTTCCATTTATTATTTCTCTTAAACCCTGTTCCGGCATCCATTTACTTAAGCTCATCAAGTATGCTATGTGTTATTTATATTTGTCCGTATTGGCTTCAACCTGTCCTGTAGACATTAGATTTTCAAGCCGTCTTTCTTCATTATGTGTCGTAGAAATTTCAACTGTCTCTTTGTGTCAATTATAAATTCCTTTTCCGTTTACATTTTTCTAGACATTTATCTTTGCTCACATGTTCATGGTATTCTCATCATCCTTCTGTAGAACCACATTTGTGTTGCTTCAAGTCGCTTCTCCATCTTTGCCGAGATTATCATGCACTCACTGCCATAGAAGAGAACAGATATCACGTATAGTACTCTTTTCCCTGTTTTTTTTTTTTTTTTTTTAGCGTAGTTTTCTATTTCTATATTCTCTGCTAGCTTTTGGAACCTTTCTTTGGCTTCCCCAATTTCAGTGTCACATTTTCCGTTCGGATAATTTGCCTTTTAAGCCCCTTGCTAAATATGTAATAAAAATTTGCTGAATAGTTATATGCACGTGTAATTTCACATGCTTAATTCGAAAATAACAAAGAAATTTTGATAAAATCTACCGTTTTAGAGTTGTTTGTATACATTCACTTCTGAGCAGATTTGCGAGGAAGAATACATTGTTAACGGCCTTTTTACGGTTCTTACTGGAATGAATTATTGCGCAACTAACGATTCATTGCGTGCGCAATAAAAAAAAAGTTATTCCGCAACAAATATCTACAAACAACGCAAGTAATGGTTGCCGCGATGCGAATGAGTTCGAATTTCTATTTTCGATAACTTCAAAACGGTAGATTTTATCAAAATGTTTTGGTTACTTTCGTATTAATATTTATATTTATCTACGCTTAAATATAACTATTCAGCAATTTTTTTTTCCATATTTATCGCGGGGCTTAAAAAGCTTCCGTTTATAGTCGCACATTTCGTTCTCTGTTAAAAACACTTCCAAGATATTTCAATTTTTTTTTTTACTTGTCTGATTTTGGCATCACCGACTTGCAATTCGCCCTTTGGGCTCCGCCTTTTGCTAACAACCAATCATTTAGGTTTAATTCTTTCTTTTCACTTTCCTTTATTACCTTTTGTAGGATTTTTTTCTTTCTTTTCGTGTTTGCTATCAGTACTGTGTCATCTGCATATCTTATCTGTCTATATTTCTGAAATTAAGTATTTTAATTGTTTACATTATTTACATTTTCGGACTGCTACCCTCATCTTTATTGCCATATTCACGGCGTTTCAGCCTTTGTACGTTCCGGTAGAGGCATGTATCGTGGACCTAGAACAATCTACCCTGGTGGACGATATAAACGTTTCAGTTCATAATTCCAATCCTCTGTAGAGGACCGGAGCGTACAGCTGCCGAAACCTCGTGAATATGTGAAATAAAGATGAGGAAAACAATCCGAACTATCTAAATAATGCATATCGTATGTTGTGAAGATTGTTACCGCCAATCCTTGTATGACTTCAAATTCTTCCAGTCACGCCTCGCTGTATAGATCAGATTCGATCAGTGAAAATAAGCATCTTTGTCTTACACCCACTTCTATTTTTGTATATCTGCTGAATTAATTTTTTATGCGTATGCAGGCGGTTTACTGCCAGTATAAGTTCTTAGTTATTTTAAAACTTTCCCATATATTTCAAGGTTGATGTGCAGTTTCAAGTTGGCGTAGGAGTTCCTAGAGTTAAAAAATGGTTTAGAATAATAAATTATAGGAAAGTAAAACCTTACAGAAAATGAGGAATAACTGAAACATTTACATTAAGCTATCACAGCTTTGATCCAGTCACAAAAAAAGATCATTTTCCGACATTTCAGTTGTCTTTCAGTCTTTCTAATAAATGATTCTGGGTGCTTTTTTGTTTTGTTTTTGTCCGATAAACTTTATTTATATTTGAAACAGTACATGTCATTTAACTTTTACTCAATAAATATAACAATTTACATACAGGGGAAGCGTTTTAATAGACCACAGAAAGATAAAAGAACATTTTCATCATATAACATTAATTTGAAATGTTCACTATAAAAAAAAAAACTTAAAAAAAAATTCAAAATTAATATAATACGTTTCTCTTCATTTGCAGCAAAACCGAAAACAAGATTAGAAAGCAGGACCACCAGTGAGTGTATGGATTAGTTTTAATCTCTGCAAATTTATACTGTTCTCTTTCTTTGAGAAAATTTCACTTACAAATTAATAGTGAAAATATCTTGTAGGAAATTGTTTATTCATGTTGTTGATTCAAAATGAAAGGTGTGTTTTATTTTTGTTCATATTTCTACCTACCATCCACAATGAAAAATGACCCTTGTTACAGAAGTGACTTGATCTAAATTAGTTTGAGTTTAATCGCTGACCACAGCAGATACAATAAAAACTTGGAGAATTGAGGGATCAAATTAACTAAAACAGAGATATCAAAAGTCATGTCACGTGGAATTAGAAAAAAAAATTATTTTTCAACGTAGTCTCCCAGCACTGTCTCACACTTTTCCCATCTGTGCACAAGCTTCCGTATTCCCTCAGCGTAAAAATGTTTCGACTGATGTCTCAGCCAGTCGCTCACAACACTTTTGACTTCGTCGTCACTTTTAAACTTCGTGCCTCTCGTGAACACTTTCAAGGGACCAAACAGGTGAAAGTCTGAAGGGGCAAGATCTGGGCTGTAAGGGGGATGAAGGAGCAGTTCCCAGCCCAGCTCGTTAAGGGTCTGCACCGTTTGGGCTGCTGTGTGTGGCCTTGCGTTGTCATGATGCAAGGTGACTCCTTCTGACTGATGACCCCAGCGTTTGTTCTTTATGTCTTTGTTGACCTGCCTCAGCAGTTAACAGTAGTTGGCACTGTTCACAGTGCTTCGTTTCTCAAGGAATGAAATGGTGATTGGGCCTTGCATATCCCAAAAAACGTTGAGCATCACCTTCCTCGTGGACCGCTGGGACTTGACCAACTTCTTCGCTGGAGAGCCTACGTGCTTCGATTCAATGGACTGCCGTTTGGACTCAGGCTCATAATGCCAAACCCATGTCTCGTCACATGTGACCACCTTCTTCAGAAACTCATCACCATCCTTCTCATAGCGGGAGAGACACTGCTGGGACAACTCGACCCGCCTCTGTTTGTGCTCTGCAGTAAGAATCTATGGCACCCACCGGCAGCTAACCTTCGAATAGCCAAGGTCATCATGTATAATTTTGTGTGCTGTCCCAACAGATAAGCTCAAAGTCCTTGCAATGTCATCCACTGTCACCCTTCTGTCAGACTGAATGAGGAGATCTCGCTTCTGTAGGCCTCACAGGCCTGTCTTCATCCTCAATACTGTTGCGTCCTTCTTTAAACAATGTAGCCCACTTGTAGACATTTTTTGTCTGAAACATGTGGTACCATACACAGTTGACATTCTCCTATGAATTTCAAATGGTTTGCACCCTTCAGCAACCAAAAACTTGATAACTGACCGCTGTTCAATCGTGGAGCATGCTTCTTGGTCGGCCATCTTTGTTAATCGCCAAAACTCTCAAAGTTTTTTCTTTTTAATCTGCAAAAGAAATTAAATCCATGTGAAAAAGAAGTTAAACAAAAAAAAAAAAAAAGAAACAAAAAGTAAGCTTCTATCTGTATTAGAAGTCCTTATACCGAAAAATTCACCTTATTTATTGAATGACCCTCGTATATGGCGGTGAAATGCTGGACAATCTCCTCAAATTTGGAGAAGAGACTTGAAGCAACTGAATTGTGGTTATACAAAAAGATGTTGATGATACGATCGAGCGGATATGTGAGCAACGACAAGGTTTTAGACAAAATCGAAACAAAAAGAAAACATATACTTAATATAAAGGAAAGATAGTTGAAATTTCTTGAGCACATAATGAGGAAGGTAGGCTTGGGAAATTTGATACTCACAGGACAGATTGAGGGCAAGAGGGACAGAGGAAAACAAAGCATAACATACTTTATGAGCTTGAGTAAATACATGGTAGAACATTGTTTAAGATAAATAACAAAAAGACATTTTTTTAAGACTTACAAAGGACAGTGAATTTACACACAGGGAATTTTTTTTTAACGGTACACATAAAATACAACATTTAACTCCGATAGCCCTCTGTGATAGTGAAAGAAATCTTCCAAAAGCTACAAAAAAGTATTAAGAAACAAGACAATATCGTTACAAGCAAAGAATACTGATCAGATTGGCAAAATCAGTACTCCTGTATGGCAATGAATTCTAAACACGCACACTAGCTTCTTAGGTAGTTTAATAGTTGTTTCCATTTGATCTTCTTGCCTTTGATACTCAGAGGGGATATCCCCAAGCCCTCTTCCTGCATGGTATATTGAGCCTGATTCTGTGGAAACGCATCTCCTTTTTCCACAAGATTCTCTGTTCTTCTGTATAAAAACTTCTCAGCCTTATTTGGCTTTTAAACGTTTTGATCATATAAAATTAATCGAAATATTCACTATACAAACAAATCAATGGAAATTAAATATATAATTCCTTTTTATTCAGATGTGGGATCTACTCAACCTATCATTACGGCGACAAAGAAAATAACATCAGGAGGCATGACTTCCGGTGAGTATAATTTTCTTATCTATAAAATTTATACATGTCTCTTTCCTTGAATAAATTCCACTTGCAAAATCATGTTAGAAAAAATTCAAAGTGATAACATCTTTTAGAAAATAGCTTGTTCAGGTGGTTGATTCAAAATGAAAGGTAAGTTTTATTTTTGTCCATATTTCTCACAACCCCACTGAAGGACACAGTGGATAAAATGCACAGTGATTCATTCAGAAGTGACTTAACATGAAGTATTTTAAGTTCAATCCCTGACCAGAGCAGGGAAAAAAAAACTTGGAAAGTTGAATAATCAACTTATGGTGTTTACTAAAAAAGATATTCAAAATATTGGCACTTGGAATAAAAAAAGATATTCCAGTGGATTGAATAAAGGGGTTGGTTCTAAATTCTGACAAATACAGTTTGAAGAAGGCAGAAACGTTGTGAATGAATATAACATTCTGAAAAATGAAATTAGTGTCAATTCATTTTTGTGCCGAATTTATTAACCACGTCATAGTAATTATAATTTCTTTTTATTCAGATACGTCTTTTATGAAATCTAGTCAAACAATCAGTGCAGCGGTACCGGAAACAACCTCAGAAGGCTTTACTACCAGTGAATGTAAGATAATTGCTATAATGCTATCATAAAATTTTACATAGTCATAAGAAAAGCATGCTTTTGTCTCGTTTTAGTAGAATTTCACACCGTTTTTTATTAATTGTAACTGTTCAGTTCTGCATTTCTCCCTTCCAGATCGAATGAGGAAGATTAAGATTCACATCCCCATCCAAAATTCTGATGTTTCCCTATTACAGGACCAGGATAGATTCATTATTTCCTGTAATTTTTATCAACTTTTATAGAGAACCCCTATCATTTCCAGTGTATGCTCAGAACAATTATATTTTAGTACTTTTATCATTTACTAGTTTTATATAATAATGATAATAATAATAATAATAAGTGTGACATTTCTGTAATTATTGAACAATATAGTTCATGCCACATTGACGGAAAACCTACCAGTACAAAAGAATTCTCTTATTACTATATTTGTACAAAAACGCAAAACCTTAAAATTTAAAATTCAAACTCAGCGTTGCGACCGCACGTTCCAAAACAATAACACATTTCTCATAGCATTTTTTCGGATTACATCTCTATTTTCGTTGTCCTCTCATTACCGAGAAGTAAAAAACAAGAACAAATCTATTTCCATGCCTGAGGATGTCTGTAGGAACAGACGAAAGCTTGTAAAAACTAAAAAGACCTTATGAAACTGAAATTTATAAACAGGGATATCATTCATATACAGGTTCGGAGTTAGTGCATCTTATTGAAATTGTTTGCGAAGATGTATTCTCGCCATTTTAATCATTAATCTCTATATTTGTTTTTTGTATGAATGATTCATGTAATTATAATTTGAACAGCACCTATAATCGAAATATATACATATATATATATATATATATATATATATATATATATATATATATATATATTTTTTCTTTATATACTATTATAAACCGGAGCGATCATGTACGGCATTACTTTACGTGAGAGGAAGTTATTTTTGCCGCTTGCGAGACGATCATCCGACGATGATCCAATTTGTAACAAGGTCGGGCGTTAAAATTTGCTCAAAAAAGGAACATTATGGGAAATAGAAGTGCGGGTGTTGTAATGATGAGAAATCAGCGAGACATGTTCGAATACCAGCTGGTCACATTCACTTTCTCGCAGCTGCTCCTGTGAAAGCCATGGGTTAAACAGGAGTGCATATTGGGTGCTTCAGGTTTGGTAAAAGGACAACATGAATTTAAAAGTGCTTACGGACACATCACTTTGATTCACCGGTTTCCGTACGATCGCTAAAGTTAAGCAATGCCGAGCCTAGTTAATACCTAGATGGGTGACCACTTGAGAGTACCAGGTGCTGCAAGCTTTGACATGTAGGTGATGGAATGGCGAGCAGCTCCAAAATTTTAATGGGCGATCGAGTTTTAATTCTTGTTGGGTTCTTTATATTTAGTTATGCGCAAGTACCGTTGGGGAAGGTATGAATACACCTCGACTCCCCCAGCTGTGGGTTAATTAGTAAGTATTGTATCGCTAAACCATTATTATCTACAAAAAGTAAATAAATAAATATTCGTACATTAAAAAAAATCTGAAAATAAATCCTATGTCCATTTACGCTCTTGAATATAATCCAAAGGCGTACCAGGATATACAAACATGCATTATAAACGTTAAGCAGATTATTAAAGAGACTGCAAAACTTTTTTTTTCTAAGTAAAAATGTGTACTAAAATGTTACATGATAACTGTCCTCCTATCTCTCTCTCTATATATATATATATATATATATGTTAAGAAATGGACAAGGTCCGACAATTTATTTATTAAAGACATTTTTATGTTTAACGTTGTTATTTATAGATACAAGTATTTAAGCAAATGCTCTGTTTATGATAAATAGTATTAAATAACATTTACCGGCCTGAATGTCCGAGAAATTTTCATAGAAGATATTCGTTCTTTGACAGGATTCGAACCTGCATACTATACGGAACCGTCATATACGCTGACGTGCCTTAACCGTCTCGGCCACAAAGAACCTTACGGTAGACAATGAACGATGAACATAAAAGCAATACCAATCCAAACAGATAACTGAAATCTTTTATAAGATCAGCGTTCCGTTTAAATATGATCACGTCGTCGTCACGTGGGCGATGTTGTGAAAACGTATTCCTAAAATTTGAGTATTTTGAATGAAAAACGAAAATAATTTTATTTTGATCTAAAACTTATATGTACGTTTGTCGAGCATTAATCTTGCTAGAAAAGGGTAAATATTAAAGAAGCCAGGTCTAGTGTTCACCGTGCGTGAGATAGTTGTACACACAACTAAAGCTGATCATAATTTCGATTTTGATTCTGTGAAGATTTTAAAATATTTTCATAGTAAAAATCTTAGACGGATTTATGAAGCAGGCATAATATCTATTCGCTCACTTCCGTTTTTAGCACTGCTTGGAAGGAAAGAATGTAGAGTGGGTTCGTTTCCTCACACCACAGAAAACCTTTTGAGAACGGTCATAGTCTGTAAAAAAATCATGGGTCTATGGCATTACCTTACGTGTCAGAAAGAGCAACACATGAATCTTGGACTAGAGTGAGGGAAATAATTGAGATCATCAAGAAAACAAAGACTGGTTGGCCCCGTCTGTCGTCCAAAAGGTGGAATATTAGAGCGACAGAGTGGATACCAAGGCAGTAGAAAAGAAGTAGAGGTCTGTCAAAGGCAAGATGACGGAACGATCTGAACTGATAGTTCAGCTCCATATGGTCAACCAAAGATGAGCTCTTTCAACAAGTGAGAGATTGTTCTAGATTGCAAATTTCTTATAAAAACATATATTCAAAAAATCAATAAAAGCTTCAGCGTTCCAAGAGTTTCGCGTCGAAACTCTCATCAGAGTCATATCGAATATCTAGCCCTGATAGGCTTTACGACGTTAAACACGTCAGTCGGTCAATACGATAAGTCAAGTGAACTTTTCTTCAATTCTTTGAATATTATAGCTCTAGTTATGTAATGAATGTTGTTAGGCAGTTCTGCTAAATTGAACATAAGCGTTAACTTCTCGTAATTTCCATGTATTTTTAATTGTTTTTTTTTTCATTATTATTATCACTAATATATAAACATAAGGTTTTATGAAAAACCTTCCAAAATAGAAAAACGGCCCCAACCTGAAAAACAAAACAAAACAAAAAAACAATGAATCAAAAAAATATTGTTCCACCAACTAACTCTATAACATCTGCAATTGGAAAGAATATATATAAAGTCAACATAAAATTTGTTACTACTATATCTAAAAGAATAAAAGACTTAGTCAATACTAAATAAAAGAATAAGCTAAAACCTGAAGGAGGAGATTACCCGATAACCTTTAATAACTGTCACAAAAATAGATAGTTGAAACCCCAAGGAATCAAAATAAAGATTATATGAACACAAAAGTGATATTTCATAAAACAATACATTAAATGCATTGGTCGCTCATCATAATGAGACGGGTCAAAAGTTTGACATAAAATATGCTACTCTGATCAAAGGAGAATACGATTCACTAAATGTTATGGTCCGGTTCCTTGTACCACGGTGATAGTCCAAGGTAGAACCAATAAAGAAGAACTCGAAGGCGGATATGGAATAACACAGATATATTACAAACAGGAATATATACAAAGAGGTAGAAAAGTGTTAGTACGAACAATCAGGTTTAGTAGTACTTGTCTGAACGCGACTCTGTTCCGGTCTGCCTCTGACACGACTGACTGACTCGCTCGCTCTGACTGACTGACAGACCCCTGACGGACTTCTCTCGAGACTTCAGACTTCACTCGAGACTTCAGACTTCACTCGAGACTTCAGACTGAACCCCAGACTTCAGACGGAACTCTTTGCTTCCTCTTGAGGCGCAGTATTTTTTACGTATGGAATAGTCCATTATGGGTAAGGTCCCATAACACTAAATTTCTACAGAGTGCCTTGACGCTCGTTCATTTACCGGAAATTTGTTGTCTGGCACTTATTTCATCATTCCTGGCAGAACATCTATTATCCCAATGTGTAATATCTATTAAGAAAATTAATGGAAAGAAAAAGAAAACAGAATCTAAATAAAATCGTTTAAAAAAATTAAATTTTAAATTCCCATCATCCATCGTTTGTGCGCATGTGTAGTCGCAGCAACATAACAAATTTACTCCGATGAAGTCCTAAATGATGAAACGTGTCACAAGAATTTTTTTCCACTTTCATACATTTTCCTCATATATATATATATATATATATATATATATATATATATATATATATATATATATGCATTGTGTTTTTCAGTGACGACTGCATCACATACGAGCACAGTAAAAGAAAAACGCTGCAACTGCAGCTGCCGGCGAAATAATACAACAGAATTTACCATGGAAGAAATCCGTAAGATATTCCTTAGCAGAAAGGAAACATCTCGTTATAAGAGAAGCAAAGAATCTGCCCCGGATGAAAGAAAATCATCCAAAGTTATTGCTGGTGTGGCAGTTGTGGCTATGTCAGTTCCTGTTGTATTGATTGTTACATCTGATGTTTTAAATTTTATACAATCTGCATTCTTCCAAAATCTAATACTAAAATTTAAAACTAGACCAACAAAGATTAAACAACACAAGCACATATTTAATGCTTGATTACTTTTGCAAACATATATAGTGTTAACCTGCATTCACACACACACACATATATATATATATATATGTGTGTGTGTGTGTGTATGCACGCGTGTGTGTATGTGTGTGTGCATGTGTGTGTGCGGACGCGCGCGTGTGTGTGGTTGAATTATCTAGACATATGAGTAAGAAAAAACGATGTAATTATTCTTATACATTTCATTTTCCTAAGTACTTTCAGACTCATCCACAATCATCGTCAGGGATGAATTGCTAACATGTGTGAGCATGAACACTGTAAAATTCGAAAATCTTTTTGAATTTTACAGCATTGAAGCTCATGAATTTTACTCCGAACTGTACTCGACACGAAGAAATTGATCCGTGAAATCAAAAGGATTAAAATAGAAAATAGACATATGTCAAGATTATACAACCAAGAATGCTTGAATGCTTGAATGAATATATATATATATATATATATATATATATATATATATATATATATATATATATCAGTAATCTTCACATATATATATATATAAACAAAAAAACACTCTTGAAAATGACTAAGGAATTGGCCAAAAGCGATAGGGACAGTGAAAATTATGGAAAGTTTATTTCCCTCCTTACTTCTACAAAATCGTAAAATGTATGGATGCTGGAAAACTAAATCAAAAATGAATGACATCTTCTTTGCCTGTCATATTTAATGAAAGATATATATATATATATATATATATATATATATATATATATATATATATATATTATAAATAAATAAATCTTCCAAATCTCCAAATAATTGTTTGTATTATCGGTAAATTTGGTAAATTTTAAATTTTAATTTATATTATTTTGCGAGTCGGCTTCAGTTAGTCTAAGTGTTTAAAACAAAATTTTTACTTTTGATTATGGATAGTTGTTGCAAAATAAAATCCTTACATTTTGCCATGATTTTGTCGATCAGTGGATGAATTGTTTTGATCAGTGAATGAATCGTATCAGCTAAGCTTTCCTTTTCTGTATATATATATATATATATATATATATATATATATATATATATATATATATAATGGACTATAAAAGACTTTCCCGTCGGTTTCGACGTATGAGGATCTGACAACTTAATTGATTCAGTTATGAAAGTTTATGCGATAATCTTGAGTGGAATTTAAGACCCACTAGTGATTTACAAAGGAGGCCACATATGGAACAGGTGTGATGAGATCACTGTTAGATTGGCTGAACTTTTAGATCTTGCTTTCGAAGATGATTCAGACAAGCAGATTGAAAATTGCTGAGTCCACTAAAACACGTTGATCTCCATTTTACCCGCTCCAAATCTAAGCGCTCAATGGTTTTATGTATATATATATATATATATATATATATATATATATATATATATATATATATATATATATATGTATAATTATTTATATATTATATGCGCAGTTCTAATTAGAAAGCGCTCAATATCAGAGATAGTACTAACATATTTGGTTGGATTGATGTTTGTGACCCTGGGATTCACGCTTTTGAGATCGTTAGACAAACTGATTATTTCACTGATTAAAAAAGCGTGAAACCAGGGTCACAAACTCACATCAATCCGACCAAATATATATATATATATATATATATATATATATATATATATAAATATATATATATATATATATACAAAACATTTATATATAAACACACGTTTTATTACGAGTAGTATCATATAACAAAGGGAATATTTAACGTCCTATAGACGAAAACACGAAAACGCCTACAAAGTATAATAAATTACAGTGCCTAAACAAAAACTATAATCAATTAAAAAAAAAAGAAACAAAAACAAAAAAAAAAAACGACAAAAACACTGAACTCTCTCTATAGACAGCGTGAATTACATTTTTCATTTCATTCATAGTCATTCACAATGATCAGAGTTGCAATAAGAAGATATTCCTCTGATTAATACATTATTACATAATATGTTCAAGTCCGTTATCTTACCCACATATCCGCACAAATTGCCTCTTATCTTAACCTCTATAGCGAGAGTCCTCGCGGGCCTTGTACAGGGTAAACCTTATCATATATATATATATATATATATTTAAGTTATGAAGAATTTGGTAAACCGAATTGGTAAATCCAAGGAGGATGAAATCCTGAGAGCTCAATGTGAAGAACAGTGCTAATATTTAATGAACAACAGACACTAACTTTGACCTATTTATGTGGTAAAAGAAAAATAAGAGAGATGTAAATTTAACCCTCACTATATTTTTGTATTGTCTTATTTTTCTTTTACCACATAAATAGGTCAAGGTTAGGTCACTCCTCCTACCCCAATTTAAGGCTTATTTAAGAGAGATGTAAATTTAACCCTCACTATATTTTGTATTGTCTCTTTAACCGCCACCTTCACCCTCCCTGTTTAATTACAAAAATTACACTACCCATCAATTTCTAATCACATTTTTCCTCTCATTTCATTGTTGGAAGTGTTACCTGATGATCCGAAATCCTTTAAAAAGGATTTTGGTGAAATAAATTATTGTAATAGTACCTTAAAGTGTCTGTTGTTCATTATATATATATATATATATATATATATATATATATATATATATATAGATATATAGAGAGAGAGAGAGAGAGAGAGAGAGAGAGAGAAAGAGCGAGCGATGGATAAATTGTCGTCATTTTATTTTTCTAATTTCGGGCATTTACTATGTATGTTTTTTGGATTTTGTAGACTGTACATTTTAGTAGTCAGTTGGGTACCATCTATGGGGAAAAGAGCAACATGACGCAATTCACTGAAATGCTATACTACTTGGCATTTGTGCCGAAAGCTCCAGAAACTAATATCTCATTGTTTAGGCGATTATGTAATGGTGATTACGTAGGTGTTTGGAGTTGTCACTAATGACAGCGACGTTATATCTCCACCGGGCCTCAGAGTCAACACGGAGGCCTACTTCAAGTGCCTTGAGGAGATAGTACTGCCCTGGATAAAGAGGATGACTGCTAGAAGACCCTATGTCCGGCAACAGGAGTCTGCACCATGACACACAAGCAGGAGAACCGAATTACCAGAAAATCTCTGCGACTACATCACCCCTTATATCTGGCCATCTAATTCCCCAGACTGCAACCCCCTTGATTATTATGTGTACCGCTCAGTTGCGCGAGAGACCAACAAAACTCCTTGCAATAGCAAAGATGAAGACAAGGATTATGCCAGCATTCACCTACTTAAACAAGGAGTCCGCCCAGAACAGTTTCGAAGATGCGGGGAGACTGCAGTTGAAGGCGATGGTGCTATATTGAATAAATTTACTCTTTAGTATTTTAAGATATTCTTCCGTAATCTTGGTATATATATATCTTTCAAAATGAGATATCAGTGTTATTTTCATTTTTGTGTAATTTAGACGACAATTTATTCATCGTGCGCTGTATATATCGTTTCTTAAGCAACTGCAGTCAGATCCTTATTTGAAATTATCGACAAATTACTAAAATATATTGCCTTTTTATATTACAATAGCGTTTCAAACTATAGTTTCTTTTTTAATGCCTTGTCCTCATTGAATGTCAAGAAAAGTCTAGAAGATAATTTCGATGTCAATGCTTTGTGTAAATTATTGCATTATTTCTCGTAAATTGCTGAGTCCACACAGATAATTCTTATTTCTTTTCTTTCCCTTTTTCTCGTACGACGTTAGTTATCAAACACCAACTACTTGACGTGCAAGGGAAGTAACTCAATAAAAATTAAGGGGACACAACTCTGTCAGACGGGGAATAACTCCGGATAAACTAATGATCGTAGCTTTATTTGTAAATATATTTTTAAAGAGCTTGTATAGATTATTTACCTTGTCACAGGCTATCTTTCTTATTTATCAAACGAAATGCATCTACCGTGCTCTTTTCTAGTCGATTTTACATTTAGTTGTTATAAAACAGGCGCTCTCAATTCTTCAGCTCTATTATATAACACGTACATTTTGAAAACAAACTTTATAGTTTTATTCAAAATGTGTAATGCTTTTTTGAAATTTTTCATAACAAGTCTTCAATTAATTTTTTTTTTTCAAAGGAAACTTAATTGATTTTAAGTTTGCATTCCTTTATTATAGCAGACATGGTTACGTAAAATTAGGGGTGTGGGGAACAAATACTAATGTATATCTTGTGGGTTCTGTTAAAAAAGATTGGGGGAGAATGGAGATCAAGTGACAACAAACGTAAAAATGACGAAAGATACTCAGTGAAATATAAAACCTAAATAATTTTTATTAAAAGAAAAGAAAAATGTCAGAAAATGTTAGGGATACCCAAATTTGTTGGTTTGTTCGCCCGAGAAAGCGGGTAATAAATTGCTGGATAAGTAAGTTATTTTTTCTGAAAATAGGCTTCAATGGTAGCAGTGGGAAAAGATCAAATACATATGAAATATCACGAGAAAATGCCAGCGTATACTAAACAATGCTGATTACAAGGAAGAAGGATCAATAAAATGGTTTCAGTGAGGGTGAGGGTGAAGAGAATTTATGGTTCTCCTGAAAGTTGTTGAACTTCTTGACAGAATTTATCAACAGAGTTTGATAACTAGGACCCGTCAGCGTAAATGCCAAGTCAAATTGATTGAAGAGTACTGGAACACTCCTTATTGCCTAGACAAGTTTCATTTTCACGATTTGATAATCAACTTAACTTTCAGAGTTTTTAGAGGCTATGTTTTTATCTAGAGTGCCTCATTCTCAGTTTTTTTATCTAGCATGATTATCATTAGTAAACTTGGAGGGACTTAGCTCTGAGTAAAAGGCTTCGAGAGATGATGAACTTCATCATTGATTGCATTTATGAC